GAAACATCGCGCTCCTCTCTCTGTCTCTCGTCCCTATTTTTCTGCAACATTAACTATGTTGCAAAAGTTCTTGTACACCATGACCCTTGTTGCAAAAAAGAAGTGGACACAAAACAAAATCTACAACACGACCTATGTTGCAAAAAAAATCCCGCAACACAACCTATGTTGCAAAAAAATCCGTAAGGAAATCTATGTTGCAAATGTTTCCGCAATAAGATCTTTATTGCAAGAAAGTAGAGGGAGAAGTTCAGCCGCTAGATTGTTCAGATCCGGTGGCCCGCGAGGCGACGGATCTTTTAAGAAAATCCGCCTGCCGACGCGTAGCATGCCCCATTTTAAAATTCCAAATTATGGTCTCCATGGAGCTCTCGAGCTCCATTAGCAATTTCTGAAACATACCGTTCTTTTATATCGGGGGAGACTTGTGTGAGATCTCACAATAGGTGAGATCTATGAGATCGATTTTTTTGAAAATAAAATACATGTTCAAACATTCTCAATTTTTTTGCAGACACACATCAATGTTTGATGTGCAACCTCAAAAAGTTTTAACTCCTAATTCAACTTAATTAATAGAAACAAAAAATTTCAAAATTGAATGTGAATAGTCTCAAAGTACTATGCAGGCAAAGCTGCTACTATTCACATTCGAATTTGTCTTTTTCGAATCTCTAAATGTACATCGAATTTTGAGCTGATTTTTTTTGAAGTTGTAGACATACCCCACATGAATGTTGTCAAATAATTTCAGATTTTATTTAACATCTAAATATGATTTTTTGAGGTTGTTCTCACGATCTCACCTAAATGTCAGATCTCATGCAAGTCTCGGAGACTTGTGTGAGATGGTGTGTGAGCTTTAGATAAATTTTATGAGTTGTAGGCACACCGGCTTTATAAGTTTTTATATCGATAAAGAGTGGATTTTATTGGCTCGAAATGAAATATTAAGGGGATACAAACCCAATGCGTGCATACCAGGTCTCTACATAACTAGAAAGCACACAACCAACTGTCAAAAAAGATGCACACAACCGACATCAACGTGCATACACAAAGCAACACGACAACAAAGAGAAAAGTCATACAAAACAAAAAATATGCAAAAATTGAAAAAATGAAAGGAGAAGAAAAAAACCAAAGCGATCAAAACAGCGATTGAGAAACTACAACAACCATCGTATCTGCACCAACCATCTCTTGACATCACAAAGACAACAAGAAAAGTTCTCCAACAATGCTTTCAGGAAGGGAATGACGCTCAAGCGCCGCCATGAGCGGATTTAGCCAACAAAGGCTAGATTCTAGGTTTTCATCCTGAAGAACAAGCTCGAGCATATCTGAGCAATGCCTTCAAAAAGGTAACAACGCAAAGAAATCATCATTGCTAGATATAGCCAAGTAGGCTTAGACCTAGGGTTTTCACCATGAAGTTTGGGACCGGGTACTCGAGAAGCACCACCAAATCAAAGCCAATCATGTGTTGTAGCTACCACTTTACATGATCCCATTAGCTACATGCGTAGTATGGTCGGGATGTGAGATGCCAGTCAAGTCAAGACCATGCACACACAAGCGGCAGCCGAGCCGCGATAAAATTCATTCGCCATCAAAGGCTTCGATAACAAAGGTCATCGCCGCGCATGCGACGAGGATCAACAAGGGAAGAAGGTCACCGGTACTGTAGAAATACCATTTTCGGATGCTCCGGCAAACCCGCACCTTCCTTGCAATTGGTCCAAAAAACGTACTTGTCATTGCCACCAAATTTGAAGATCCAAGCCTCTCCGGTTCTTCGTGACAATCTCCTAGTAGCGCAGGACCATGGTGTCACCACTGCCGCCCGCGTGCTGATGTCTACTATGCAACTTTATTCTTGTAGACACGTGTTGGGCCTCCAAGCGCAGAGTTTTGTAGGACAGTAGCAATTTTTCCTCAAGTGGATGACATAAGGTATATTAATCCGTGGGAGGCGTAGGATGAAGATAGTCTCTCTCAAGCAATCCTGCAATCAAATACGAGAAATCTCTTGTGTCCTCAACACACCCAATACAATAGCAAATTGTATAGGTGCACTAGTTCGGCGAAGAGATGGTGATAAAAGTGTAGTAT